AAGGGGCTAATTCTTAAAACTCAGACAACACCGAAGCTTTCAAGTTTTGGAGTGACTCAGATCACTGGCCGTGGATTCTCTTTTCAGCCCCCCGCCCAAGCGTGACGCCTTCTCCAGGCCTACCGTATGACGATGGGCACACACTCAATGTTGGCAACTTTGGACGTGAAAGGCGAGGCCACAGAAGCCTCTGCTTCCGAGAGCGAGATCCCCACATCAGCGGCCTTCAGGGCTCCACAGTCATTGGCACCATCCCCGCACATCCCCACGCAGTAGCTGCAAGCAGAACACACACCCACACACACACACATTTGGCCACGGGGAGGCCAGACCGGGTCTCCTCCCATGCTTCCCTCTGGCGGATATGTCACATGGGTCAGCTACTGATGGCCTCTTGCATCAGCCCTCCGAGGCCCACAGCCTCCCCCTCCTCCCTGTCACGTGTCAAGGGCTGCGGGTCCTCTCCTCAGCTAGCCAGCGGCACGCAAGGTCCTACTGGCCTTGTGCTTGGCCCTGCTGCTTTCCAGGGTTTCCGGCCACGTGTCGTTTTGGGTTTGCCTGGCCACTTCCTACCTGGCCCCACACTCTTCTGGGAAAGGAGGGAGGGAAGAGCCACAGGCTTACTTCAGGCCTTGCAGACTGCGAACCAAGAGAGCTTTCTGGTCAGGTGACATCCGGGCAAAAATTGTGGCTCGTACCAGTATCTGCCCAGAAAAGACAGACGTGCATTGATATCTGCCAGCCGCTGCCTGCCCCCCTGTGCAGAGTGCATGCAAGCCACACGCATCCCGCAGGCCAGGGGCTCTTCTGACAAGAAGAAGATGAAGAAGAAGAGGAGGAGGAGGAGGAGGAGGAGGAGGAGGAGACTGGATTTCCCTTCCCCTCCCCACAACAGACACCCTGTGAGGTGGGTGGGGCTGAGAGAGCTCTGACAGAAACTGCTCTTTTTCAAGAACAGCTCTGACAGAACGATGGCTTGCCCAAGGTCATCCAGCAGCTGCGAGTGGAGGAGTGGGGAATCAAACCCGGTTCTCCCAGATTAGAATCTGCACTCCTAACTACGACACCAAGCTGGCAATCGAAACATCCACCCAATGTCTTGTGCAGCCTCTGCCCGCAGACCCAGGGAGCTGCAAACTTCTCACAGTGTCTTGTGAGGAAGCAGCTACAGGAGCGAGGGACACAGAGGCAGGGAGGGTACCTTTGGCAGGAGATCACGGAAGTGCTCACAGACCACGGCAAAGGATTTCCCATTCAAGGCAAAGTGAGAAGGGTGCCGTTCCAGAAAGTAGCTCTCCTGCTGGTAGGAACCCTGCAAGAATTAAGAAGCCAGGCCTCTTCAGGCTTCTCTCGCCCACACGCCCAGCCTGTTCTGGCCCCAGTGCCCCCTTCTGCAACGCCTCCCTCTCCGGATCTCTGAGACGTGTCTCAGACTCCCCTTGGTCTGGCGGAGGGGCAAGACCTGAAACAGGACGAGGCAGGGGAGGGGCTCTCCTGACGTGGCTGGACACCGAGGGAGCTAAAAGCCCCCAGCCTCTATGGGCCTGGAGAGGAAGGAGGAGTGCAGTGGAGCCCCCTCCTCACCCCGTGCCAGACTGGAGCACAAGCCTTCCTTCCGTGCCGCTGACTCCCCCCCCCCACTGTGTCCCCAGTCTCCTCCTGGAGCAATAGAGCACCCACCACACACACACCGCAAGAGGGGCGGGGCCCGGGGCCCTGCCCACTGCCCGCAGGAGACCTTACCTCCAGCGGCTGTGGGGGAGGCTCGGCGGGGATGAATCGGAGGGCAGACGGCTGGCCATCGCTGGGAGGCAGGGCGTTCACAAAGACCACCGGCTCCCCCGGCTCCACCATCCGGCAGCTCCTGGCCACGTTCACTGCAGTCAGCATGTTGTCCCCTAATGGGGAAAGGGAGAAGAGGACAGTCTGGATGTGTAGCAGAGCAGAGCGCAGGCAATTTAACTGCAGAGAAGCGCCAGACGTTCTTGATCTAGGCCACAGCGCACACCCTGGAATCGGCACTTTTTAAAATTTGTTTTCACACAAGCACCTCTACATCGCCGTTCTGTAGTCCGAGAGTGCCAAGCCTTGAGTTCCCGGGGGGGGGGAGCTCCCCTCCCCCCCCACTTTGCTTTCCCCTGCTTGCAGGTCAGTCAAGTACACTGTATTTATTTCGGAGCCATCTTTAATTTTTAACTTGACTGTTTTATTCTCAGTTTTATATTGTATTTTTTGTTATTATCAAGTGCCCTGACCCCTGTGGACTCAGGGAAGGGCAGTTTATACATTGAGATTCTCACTGAATAAAGATCTAAGGAAAGGAGGTGGGCCTTCAGGCAGGGGCACCATCCTTGACCCTGACAGACCCCCAGCCCAGCGACCCCCCCCCCCGCTTCCGAGGCTTCGGGGCAGGAGGCCTTCCGG